ATGGGTCTAACTGAATGAAATAGAGGTTATGAAGAGGTCAGAGTGGTTTAAGAAGGAGATTTATTTTGAGTTTTGAGGGTCATTGGGAGTAGAACTTAAGAATGTAAAAGGTGTATAGAAAAGTGGAAGGAAAAAAAAACCTTAGGAACTTTTGTTATGTGTTGGGATAAAAATCCATATTTGCTATTGTTGAGAGACTTCTCCAAAGATTTTTTTTTTTAGTTTTTTTTTTTTTTTTTTTTTAATATCACCACTTTTATTATTTTGGTTGTTAAACAGCTATTTCTTTCCACAGTTCCACAGGAGAACTGAGCTCCCTTTTTTCTTGTTTATTTATTTACTTGTTTGCATTTCACATGCTTCTCAGTGGTCTTCATTTTTTAGCTGGCAGGGACCACAACACTAATAGCTTGTATTTGTCTAAAGAATTAATTATAGAAATTTTAACACATTGTTTGTTTGTTTTTTTTTTCCTTTAGAATATTATGGTGAGGCAATTAGGGCTAATGTTACTAGCTCATTTTCCAGACAAGGAACAAATCTTACTGAAGTTTTATTCCATGACTAGTAAAAGGTCAATTTAAAATTCAATCTTGAGTTTCCTAACTCCAAATTCGGCATTCTCTTTATTAACTTAGTTGAAAATGGGTTCTTAAAGGATTGTTAAAGGTATTTTAAAGGTAATCTTCTATTGTTAAAGGTAATTTTTTTAACTCCAAATTTTCATGGTGTCCCATCAACTGGGGCTATCTGAAAGCTGATAGTATTAAAGAAACAAATTTCATCATGTACCAGTCAGCCAACTGACTATCACAGATTGAGTAACTTTATAACACGGTCCTGGAGAGCAGAGACTGGGAGGCCATATCTGCTGATAGTCTTACTAGTTGAGTCTTGGAGCGGCACTGGATTTGTAGGCAGGGACCACATGAGTGTGCATGTCCTCTGGTCTCTCTCTTTTTTAATAAAGGCATTAGGATCCAGTCAAGACGGTTCCACCTCAAAATCACCTTATCTAATTTTAACAATTTTCCAAAAACCCAATTCATTTTGCTATAAACAAGTTTTTACACTCGAAATTTCAAACACATGAAGCTTTAGGGGCCATACCTCAGACTATGTCCAAATCATAGCATCTAAGTAGGAAAACATTTTTTCATAGTGGATTTTGGATCAATGGCAGACTGAGAGCAAAACCTACTAACACACCATAGCACAGCTTCAGCGGGTTCAAGAAACCCTTGGTGAGAAATAAGAGAGGCCCGAGAGGCAATGCACACATCTTCAGACAGCATATGTGGATGGAATACGACAGAGGGCAACCTTATCACAGGACTCACAAGCCCAGGCTTTGTGAGATAGCGCTTTTATCTTTTGCACTCTGCCTAGTTCCCTTGTTACTCTTCCTATCAAACAGAGCTGTGTTTTAAGAGAGAGCCTGCCTAAGACATATCAAAAGGAACAAAGGAAAGGAGTTTCTTTCTCGTCGTGGTGGAGTTTTCTCTGTAGCTGTCACAGGATTCCAAAAGGTATTGCAAAGGGAGAGGTGAACGGGAGGGAACACTGTGGTGATGTCGATGAGTTGGCCGCTCCTGCCCAGAGTTCCTCCTTCCTTGACCGAAATGTTAGACGTTTGTAATATTTTACTTCTGTTTTTTTTTTTTTTTATTTCCTCTAAGAGAGAAAGATAACAGCTATTAACAGAAGGTTGCTATATAACTTGTATTGGAAACGAGATAAATAAGGAGAAAGTAAGAAAATGTTATTTTCTAGGGGTTAGAGGGATGGTTTGGGGGTTAAGATCATTAGCTGCTCATCATTAGATGAAATGGGTTTGATTCCTAGTACCCACTTAGCAGCTCACGACTGTCTGTAAGTCCACTCCCAGGGGATCTGACACTCTCTTCTGGCCCCCATGGGCACTCTACACATGTGGTATGCAGACAGATAGCAGGCAAAACACCTGTACACATAAACAATTAAAATAAAAATGCAAAAAGAAAGCATTTCTCTCTACACAGAGAATTAAAGTGTTGATTCAAGTGTACTCCTCGTATCCTGAATTCCAGCCGTCTGAAGACTAAGGCAGGAGGATCATCTTCAGTTACATAGTGAGTTTGAGATCAACTTGAAATACGTGAACCCTGTCTCAACAGCAACAACAAGAAAACAACAACAACAACAAAAACATAAAAGCAAAGAATCTTAAAAGGTATTGAAAGTCATTTACAAAATAGCTGCAGTCCTAGCATTTCCCACATATTGACAAAGTTGCAGGTGAGTGAGCTGATCCTCAAGGACAAGAGCATGGAGACCTGGCCCTACCACTTGTCTGCCCTGCAGTAGCATGGGCAAGGGAGAGATATCCTCCTCCCTACTTGTCCCTCCTCACCTGCAGCAGGCAGGAGACCTGGCTCTGGGGTTGGAGAGCAGGAGAGCTGTCCCTGCCCTTCACCTGCTACAGCGTTTGGGAGAGGAGGCCTTGCATCTCCCTTGGGCAGCACAGTAGAGCTGGACATGGGTGTGCAGGTGAGCTGGCCTGAGGGAGTGTGAAAGAGCCCGCCTTGCCTCTTGCCTGCTGGGCTGTGCCTTGGAGGAGGGAGAGATGACCTCTTCCCTTCCCTCATCTCTCACTGTCTATGACAGGCAGAAGAGCTAGCCTCTGGGTCACGAGAGTGGGAGAACTGGCCACGGCCCTCACCAGCTACAACACTCAAGAGAGTGGGCCCTGCACCTCACCGGAGCAGCAGGGTAGAGCTGAACCCCATAGTGAGGTAGAGTCGGGGTGTGGGTGTTGTTGAGAGCAGGGAGGCCGTTGGCGGGCTGACCAGTTCAGATACCTCTCAGGCTCAGATCCAGGGCTTTGAATTGGCCCACTCCAACATTTACCTCATCAATGAACTGCTGGAGTGCATGAATAGCCAGTCCTACAGATCCAAAACTACAGGATCTCCACGACACAGGGCAATAACAGGATTTCAGAAAGGAATCCCAGTGAGGTTCCAGTATTGATAGAGTAGAAGAAGCCAGAGGCCTCATACCAATGAACAAGTCATTACAATGAACATTTGCAAGCAAAGAAGTGTGGACAAAATGGTATACTGTGGGACACACTGTGACACACTACAGCTTCCACAATGAGATTTTGGGGGTGGGGGTTGGAGAGGAGGATACAAGGGTGGTGGGCGGGTACGAGGGGAGGAGGAGGAGATGAGTAGGATTGGGGTGCATGATGTGAAATTCACAAAGAAACAATAAAAAGTTAAAAAAAATAAAGATTTTCTTTATTGCTGTCTGGTCTTTGCACTTGCCACATTCAAAAGTGTATGTGTGTGCGAGAGAGAGAGAGAGACAGAGACAGAGACAGACAGACAGATGGGGGAGAAGCCCTCGGCACATTATAAATTCATAGGCAACTCAATATAATTCTCTACTACAAAAGAAAGATAAATTCTAAGACACACTTCCATTTTCTTTGCCTATATAAGAAGGAATGAAAGATTTATTTGCCTTTAGATTTCTAATTTAAAAGTTTGAAAGTTTTATAATTTTTCTTGTTAGGCCTTGAAGTCAATGGGTTCATGGTATTATAATAAACATCTTCCTCTTAGGGACTAGAATCAAGAGGCACATTGCCCCAGTTTTTTCAAACATAATAGGAAAAGATAAAGAACATGGGGAAGGGGGCTTCTTCTTGGTCCACAAAAACACTGAAACATCATTATTGATACAGAAGCTCTGGTACATAAGAGTTCAAACACATACAAACAAGAATACGAGATTATATTTCACATACAATATTGTGTTTCTCTAGCTGTATAAATTACCACTGAAGTCTTACTTATCTGGTGTTACTGTTTAATCACCAGTTCAACCTTGAGAGTGCAGCGAAGCTTGAAGAACTAAAAAAAAAAATTGTCCATATTTAATTCTGTGGGCACCCATAAATCCATTGTTTTATGCCATGGGTTGACATTTATATGCAAACTAGCCAATTATCTATATTTTTTCTTTGTTTTCTTTATAGTAGAACAGTAAAACCACTTTCTTTTCTGTGTTCTTCTAAGGAAAAAAGACATTCTAGTGAGTAAAAAAAGGGGTTGTATATACTGTCTAAAAAAATGTTTTGTTTTGTTTTTTTTTTTTTTTTTGGTGTTAGCAGGATGAAAAAGACTTTTTTATAGAATTTTTTTTTTTTTTAAAGACGGGACTTCAACATGTACTCCTAACTGGCCATGCATTAATTATACATGTCAGGTAGGCCCCAAACTCAGAGATCCACTTTCCTCTGCCTCTCCTCATGCCCAGCTTATTTTGAGACAAGATTTCATGTAGCTCAGACTGGCCTAGAACTCACTATGTAGCTAAAAGTGTTCTTGAACTCCTGAGGTCCCTGCTCTACCTCTAATGGACGGACTGGGCATTACTTAGGCATTGTTTGACTTGGGTGTGCATTGTTACATGTGGCAAACAACATTTTTCTATGTGAGAAACACATCGTAGCTTTTTTTGTTTTTTGAGAAGTCCTCTATGGATGTGGACAAGAAGGAAGAACACGGTAAAAGAAACCCACATTTTGTTGTTCAGTCCTGTCCCACCAGATGGTTTTCTCCTGTGGCTGCTTCGGCCCAAGTGAGAAGAGGGGCAGCCAATTAACTTCCTTGAGTAACCAAATATTTAAAACAATTGAACACACAGAAACCTTTTAGTGGCCTTCATTTGTAGGCAAGGCAACCACAGAGAATCAATAAACAAATTGGCCAAGCACTTGAAAGAAGGTGTTTGTCACAAGGCTATGTCACTAAGTGATAATCATCTGACCTGGCCCTGAGTTCACCCAACGTGAGGTGGCTCTTTCTCCCCGTATCCAGGCTTTGTGTCGTTCCAGGGTCTTAGAATAATCCAACCTGATCAGCTGACTTGCTACGAAGTTATATTTGTCGTTGATTGCTCTCTAACACTGGTGCTCCATCTGTTTACTTCTCATTCCCTGTGCAAACCACTGGCTGAACTCCCCGCCTGTCTCTCCAGATCTCGCGCTCTTGAAAGTCCGTAAGTTTCTCAGACTTGACATAACAACCTTTCCAGAAACTGTGTGGCTTAAACAATGGAAATCAACGATGTCAGAATTCTGGAGGCTGGGTGTCACCGGGTCTGCTTTCCTCTGAAGGCTGTGAGAATCTGTTCCCTGCTTCTTCTCCACCAATCTTTGACATTTCTGACTCGTAGAGGCATCACTCTATTGTCTTCAGTGTCACAGGCGTTCTGACCTTGTCCCCCACTAGTGCCACCAGCATGTCATTCTTTTTATAAAGACATCAATAATGTCGGATTAGGGGCTCCTTCTTTTAGATTGTGATCTCAAGTAATCTGCTGAGACAATATTTCAAATATCAAATTACGTCTAAGATACTGGAGGTTCATATTTGAGCAGTGAGCGTGCGTGCGTGCGTGCGTGCGTGCGTGCGTGTGTGTGTGTGTGTGTGTGTATCTGTCTGTGTGTCCCTGTGCGTTTGTGTCCACGTGTGTGAATCCATGTATGTCTGTGTGTGTTCATGTGTGCATGTGTGTGTCTATGCTTCAACCCATAACTGCTTATTAACTCTCCCTCACACATTTCTCTTGGAAGCCTGGGTAAATTTGTTGTTTGTTCTGGTTGTTTTAACCTGGTGTTCGGGTGGGCCTCTTGTAGCCACAGTGTCTCCAGACGTGGAAGAAGGAGGTAAAATAACATTACATTATTGCGGAGTGAGAGCAACTACGCCGCGGGCTTAGAAGGTATAAAGAAGGGGGAAATGGGCCAAGAATTGCAGGTGGCCTCTGCAGCTGGAGAGGCAAGACAATGGATTTTCTCCTAGAGTTTCCAGAAAGCAGTGCAGCACTGAGGACATTTTGATTGGGGCCCAGTGAGACCTGGGCTGGACCTGAGCTATGGGATCGCAGTACAATAAATTCAGATGGTTTTGAGATGATAACTTTGTTATGGCAGCAATAAAAAACTAATATGTGTAAAAAAAATCTCTTGTTTATGCTCTGATAAAGCTTATGCTTCATCCTGGGCTTGGACTCCTTGAAACGGTTTCCTAGTCTTCTGATCCAAGACCCTGTCCAACTAACCATTCTGCCAGTACTTCAGACCTCAGTATCATCATGCATAATACAAAAAATAATGTCATTAGAGTCATGTGGGTGTTGAATGCAGGTGGACTACAGAATCCAGTTTTGGTATTTCCTGGCTGTGTGACCTTAGGTAAATCACTCAGCCATTCTGAGCTTTAGTTACTTTTCCTTAATCTACCAGAATGAGGATAAGAAGGCACACTTCTGAACCAGAGAGATGGCTCAGCAGTTAAGACCACTTCCACCCTTCCAGAGGACCCGAGTTTGGTTCCTAGCCTCCCTGTCAGATAGGTCACAGCCTCTTGTAACTTAAGCTCCAAGGGATCCAGTGCCACCCTCTGGTCTGTGTGGGTGCCCACATGTCCGTCTCTCATAGACTCACACACACATACAACAAAATAAATCTTTTAAAAAGGATGTAGTTCTTGCTGTGAAGATTCACGAGAAGAGCAGTTAACGCAGCTGACACAATGCACCGTATGTGTTAGGTTTCACTAAGTTTGAGAGTCTTAAAAACACCATTTCAATTTTCTGCTGTACGCTACTTTAAAGAAAGGCTTACGTGGGATTCAGAATATAGGCCAGCAATGGGATTTTAAAAAGACGAATTGGTGAGAATTTCTATCTTATAGTACTTAGCGTTGACTGGATAAACATCTAGAAAAAAAAAAACTCATAAAATTACAAAAATCAGTCAATGCATACATGCACATAAATATGTATATATACACACACATATATACATACATACATATATGTAGTCAATGATTTTCGGGTGAGAGAGAACAACAGAGACAGTAGTTGGCCTACTGAGTTAATTGTGAGCTACTGGTTATTCTGCAGTAGAGAACAGGAAGACATTTACTGGACTGAACAAAAACGTATATAATAAGTTGAAATATAATAATGCTTTAATACTATATAATAATTATGTACAATAAGGTATAATAATGTATAATTAGTTGAAAGCCTCAAAAAGATTTTGAGAAAAAGTTAGTTCAGCTGAGTGGGCACAAGGCTTGGTTGGCAGCAGCAGGCCCTGTGATCTGATGGGAGGAGCTGTGGCGCTTGCTGCTATGCCCTCCCTGCTGGGAGCCCTGGGCCTCATCAGGCTAGAATCACTGACCACCTCTTGCAGAGCAGCCAAGATGCTATAGGCAGTGGCGATTGCCAACAGTGGCGGAGCTGTGGCCAGCAGCCCGGAGGCTACTCTGCAGTCAGGCAAGGCAGCTGGATTCCTATATTATCCAAAAATCCTCCTGCTGGAACTGTTCGGGAGATGCCCCCATTAGTTGATCCCAAAGCTGAAGAGTTATTGTATCTGACCTGAATAGTGCATTGTCAACTAAATGACAAAGATGGACTCTGCTCAAGATCTATTTTGAGACTGAAAATTGGATTTCTAATTGTAAGAACCAAGGAAGAAAAATAAAAGAATTTTAGTAAGAAACAGGAGTGATTAGTCAATTCCTATTACTGAAGACCTCCCAAATCCTAAGAAAAAGAGACATACATGAGATTATTCCTATGGTCACATTTTATTATACTGAAAAACGAGCGCTATGATAGCTAGCTGCGAAGACAGATGACCTTCAATAGATAATCCAGTTGAAGAGGTCAAAAATGATGGTTAGGGGTGACACGAGAGCCTCAGTACCAGACAAGAGTCTGCAGAAGGCAGAAGAACATTAGGATATGATAGGAGTGACGTGCCTGGAAGAAATACACACCTCCATCCTGAGGAGGAGCCAGAGGTAGAGTTCAGAGCTTGAAAACCAGTGTGTGGCAACAGAATATACACAGAGCAGAGGAGGGAACGGGATTTATGAGGAGCAGACAAGAAGGTGTGGTTACGCTAACAAAGAGAGGGATGAAGAAACAGAGGCAAACACTATGATACCGTTAGGACCACAGGTCAGGAAAGAGTCAGGGAGACACAGTATGCAGTTTCTGAACCAAGGAAGCACTTTGACTTTTAATGATCAACTTGTGGGCATGGCCTGAGTTCCACAATGTCAGCCGGGATTTTCTCATGGTTTTCCTCAATTTCTAAAGTGGTCGGGGCTGGCCAGGTGGACAACAGTGTGAGTCTTGGCAACCAGCATCTTTGTGATTTGATATTACAAAAACAGAATGTCTTCAGGTGGTAGGTCCCAGAACCCAATCTGGGGTTCTGCCAAACGAATATGTTCAGAAACATGATGGCAATGCCTTTGCTCAGCAAGACTGTTGGCACATCTTGCTTCTTGTCTGACAAAGATGTCTCTGCTTTTTCAGCCAGGGAGAAAATTAAACAATCACTCCAAACCAAAATGTAACCTGATTTTGGATGAGGCAGAAAAAAAAAAGTTGTTTTAATTTGGGCAATTCTGTAATTTTTAGAAGTCTATGGGATGAGAAAAATACAATATCTGGTTCCCAGAGTCACTTGGGAATTTCCTAATTTCATCTTGGTTATTGACTTTTGTAATGACTTCTGCCAAATGGCCTTGGACAAGGAGTCCAAATCCCAGCATGCATTTATAATTCCAAATAGAGTGTATTGTTGAGATAGCTTTTTCTTTAGGTTAGAAACACACTAACCTCATTCCAGAGAGTGAAACCCGGGAGCTACACGGATTAGAAACATTGGCTCCAGTTTACCTAGGTGAACGAGCAAGTACATACATCGCTGAAATACAGATGAAAAGCTGAAATATCACCGGCTGCTGTTATAGGCACATATAACACACAGAACTGGAAATTATATTATTTCAGCTCTGCCTCCTAAATTTTCCCAAATCAGTCTTCATCCCCACGCCTCACTGTGACATTACTCTAGCTCAAGTTCTACAACCCTTATGATTGAAATAGTTCCTTAAACTATTTGTGTTCTTATTTTCCCATCATTTCTTTCCATTTCCTTTTCACATTGTTTGAATGCTTATGTTCCTAAAGGCCTAACCTGGCCATTTCATTTCCCTGACTTAAGCCTGCAATGATTGGAGATATGACTCAGTGGTATGACTTGCCTGGCATTTAAACCCTCTAGTGGCATGCTATTTTCCTTGCTATAGGGCCAGCTTTCCTCGGTCTGCAGAGATCTTTATGGGCTACCTATCATTTGCTTCCCCAGCTTTTCTACTCCGTCTTCACTAGCCAACCTTCAGCTCCTAGATGACATGTTCTTGCTTCTGCTTTTCATGATTTCACCTCTATTTTTTCTGCTCTGTCATCTCTATCCAAAACCTTCTTAACAACCTCTTTCCCACTCTCCTTCTAATTTTATGACTCAATTTAACTCACCTTTCAGGTTTGAACACAGCTCAACCCAGTACATCTCTCTCTAGCCCACCCCTTTCATTCTTGGCAGGTAGACCGGACCATATTCCCTAGCCTCCACTGCATTAGCTATGACCACGTGACCAAATTACTCATCAGTGGAAATAATGTGCTTGGCTTGGCCCATTTAACGAACAAACAAACAAAACCTGACACAAATCAAACTTTGTTTTTTTTTTTTTTTTTTTTTTTTCTTCATCTGTCTTTTGAGTGGAAAGGATTCAGAAGGCTTCAAGGAAGGCAAAACCCTTAGATGAAGGGATCAGAGCTTTAATTTGACGTTAACCTGGGTGAGAAATAAGTCATTGGTGTGTGGAGCTATGGAAACGACATGCTTGTTTCATACCTGGTACTGCTTTCCTTCAGCAGTGTGAGGTCTTAGCTTAGTTACAAATCCCTCTGGGTAAACATGGCTTGAAAATGTGTGTCTATTTGGTTTCCCTATAAGCCCAGTGAGGGAGGCCAGGGACCCTTATCTTATTCACAGCCTCGCCTACAGTGTGTCTGTTGACAGTGCGTGGACACACGAAAGCATCTGACCAGGGTTGAAACAAGTTTCATGTCTATCTTGAAACCTGGGTTTCAAGGCACATAGGATTTCATCTGAACAT